ATTTTGGTACGGTATTTCCTTTGTTAGCAATTACTCAAAATATCTGTCTCAGTTGCCCTCTTTGTTCAGACACGTATCTTTATCCATGCCAATCTTCCATTTTTACAGTGCCTATGCAATTGGATATTAGCTATTGATGGCCAATGCAAATGCATCTACTTATTGTTCAATGAAAACCACGCCCACTTTCTAAAGTTTTATAAGCCTCCTTGTATTGATGTTGGGGTCATTCTTCCCCTTTTTGAACCCAATAAATCTGAGATAGCTCGTTCGTCCACACAACAACGCAACGCACATTGATTGCCCCTTGGTAGTCGGTTCAAATCAAATCAACCGCGATTCGGTTCAACTTAATCAATCGCTATTCGGTTCTCCTTTTAACTCAACTGTTACTCATATCCAACATAACCTTGTCCAACTCAACACACCTCAATCGACTCCCCGCAAATAACGCGAAAGGTAAATTAACCTTGGTCGAAATACTGGTGGTATTTGGAACTCATCGACATCACCTCCAACAAATCAACGAATTTCACGACAACTTATTTCTTTTCCCTCTTTTATTTTCACTTTGCAGAACAAATCCAAAATCTTAGCGGTACACCTTCCGGATCAAAATGGAAAATGTACTTAGACTAGCAATAGACAAGCTTCACTATTCCCAGGATTTATTTTTTCCAATTGATTAAGAGAACTCGAGTAATAGGATGGGAAATAAAAATTTTAAACTTCTTTTGATTAGCTGATTGTTCTATTCCCACATAATTTCAGAATAACTGTACTATTCATTTATGGATGATACTTTTCAGAAATTTGATATGGCTGGACCACTGTCATGATCGATCCATAATTCCCCTATTTTATTCCAAGGATTGAAGATCAATTGCACTTACGATTCAAAGTACTTAGCTCACATCCGAACGAACTCTTAACAATCACGTTCTCGACCGGCATCTCCGCCGGGATAACAGTTGGTGCAGTGATCGCATGTGCGTAATCAGTAGTTAACCGCGACCAGTTCTTCTCTGCTACCCTCTCCAAGTCGCAGGTTAACATTGCTGTAGTTGCTTTTAGCATTGCACACTGTCTATCATTTTGTTTTTTTTAATAGTTATTTTAGCACCGCAAATTTTGTTGAATTAGTTCAACAAAATCAAATATACACAGCATATTGGATGGTAGTTATTGATTATGAAAAAATCTTCTACAGACACAACCATTTTCCCAAACTATCATAAATTTGTGCTAGCAAGATTCATTCGTGTCGCATCTTACTTTTGTAGCGTAAATATGGGAAATACCGCGCTTAACCTCGCAACGTTGACACGGGAGTATGCGTGTCACGATTATGTTTTGCTCTGTGTTATAACGATGTTTCTTTTCTCAGATTTATCATCCTTCAACTTTATTATACCTCAAACTGTACAAATGCTAATTAACAGCTAATTCGGACCTGTTTTCTTATTGTACGAAAGCTTGTTAATATGTGTAAGGATGTTAGATTCATAATACGTTCTCTTAAATTGAAATATTTATTTCAGGTTGAGGTTAGTTGGGAAGTGATTACGTTGTTTGATCGGATTTGTTAGGCACAGCTCACATGTCTAGAAAATCGCTATGGTGGTAGTAAAAGAAAGGATATTACCTTTCACTGTTTGGCATCTCATTTACAACTGCAGCATGTCATCTTACATCTGTACCTGTTAATAATTGGTATTTAGTTTTTTCACCTTCATTATACAATTATTCTTACATTTTCACAAAAGCCAAACAGAAATGGAAAAAAGGAATTTAATTTGGATAATCATTAAGACCTTACATTTAAATCACTATTTCAAGAAGTTCTGTACCAGCAAGATCGATCAAATTTGCAATGGCAAGACTAACAACCACTCGTCGTAACCGTTTATTTTGGGAACTGATTGTTGCATTTATGTTGGTTGTCTCTGCTGCTGTTTTTCAAACATTTCATTTTTTCAACAATGCATGGTTGGTGCAGATCAATGGTTCATATATCTATCAGGTTTTTACAGTCGTTCTTTTTATCATCATTGGTCCTTTAAAATGTTTGAATTCCATTGATGATTGTAGTAGTGAATTTAACAGAGCTTTGTAAATATAATTTAAGCCGTTACCGGCAACCTCCAATATATGAAGGATAATGTAATTCATGACAATCATCTACATTATGGAGTATAAAATAACAAGCTTTACATTTCAAAAGCTCAGTGCACTGGGAAAATCATGGAAATGGAAAGAAATATGCGGTGGGGGGGCGGGGGGGGGGCTATCACATAAATCGAACGGTAGATGCAAATAAAGTTATGTACTCGTCTAGTTTTTTTAATGCAGAGGAACTTTAGAATTTCTTTCTTACTTCATTATGGTGAAACTACTGCTTCCAAGAAATAGCAAATTTTCAGCGTGGTTTAGGAGACGACTGTGTAAAAAATGATGAATTTTCGGATGGAATTAGGTGCACAGGTTGGTTAGATAGCGGATATAGTACCTTCGTTATCAATGGCCAGAATATTACTGCCTTAGATGTTGTTCCACCTTCCATAGGTAATTCCATCTTTTCCAGTACATTGTTTCAAGACCAAATTTACAGTCATATTTCTTTTAAACCAGATTCAAAACTTATTAAATGTATTTACCCAAATATTTTTCTCTTTCATTCTTACTCAGTTTCAGGACTGAGATTGGCACGCGTTCTCATGATTTTCAGCATTTTATTATATTTAATCGTTATTTTCTCGTTATTTTTCACTTGTGTGAAACGCGATCTCAAAGTGCAAAAACTCTTGTGTAGTGTGACTGTATTGCTGAGTAAGTTAGTGGCTGTGTGTTTGTTTCACTTCATGCGTTTACTGTTATTATTTTAAAATTTTAAAAATCTTTTTGATATTTTTCTCCATGTGATTTATCGTTCTTTTTTTTTCAGTTTTCATCAATTTTCTCATTATATTCCTCGTTTTGGTGGATAGCTCAGAACCATTTATCAAAACCATGAAATACGTATGTTGTTTTTTTTGGATTTTGGTTCTTTGGAAAATCTTGATATTCATATTCTTTTCATTATTGAGCTTCAAAGTTTATTTCAGTGTTCACTTGGTAGTGCATTTTACTACTTCCTTTTATCATATTTGTTGTTATGGATTGGAAGTGCAGTACATTTCGATTCTTGGATTGACGTTTGTGATGATATGCACGCGAATGATTTGCCGATAGGACTTTTAGATCAGATTCGAAGGAACACAACTTTGTAGAACGAAAGCCTTTGTTTTTAATGTATATGATCTATTATTTACTCGCTAAAATTTCTTTATAAAATAATGCGCTTTTCAAAGGCTTTATGAAAAGCATTCATAATTTCAGATGTTCAGCTAAGATATATGAAGCAGTACACAGTGTGAAGTAATGGCCACCATGTTGTTTAATTCTAGAAGATATCCCTAAACTTGTCAAGAAACATTTTTTGGGGAGTCTGGATCATTCGGTCAAATAGAGCCGAAATAAAAGTAGTGAAGTGAGAAACTAACTACATTAAAATTCTTTAGATAATTTATGGCCAACTGGATGTACTCTTAATTCGTTATCAAATAAATTTACTATGAACTACTTTGACGAATAAAATCCCAATGTGGTATGTCATAGCGTATGCAAATCTGCCATTATTTACTATATAAATACATTAACAGCAGTTGTTGAGTCTTTTGGTCCTCGAAATAAATTGCTCCATACCGCTGTCAACTTCTGACATTCATGTTAACATATGAAGATAGTCGGACCACTTCTCGTTTCAAGTATGGTTTTGGCTTGTTTGATATCTGGATCTGAGGAATACTACCTGGATATCGCACTGTAAGAATGTAGAGCTCAAGAATCTGATCACGAAAATTAGTGGCGAGCGGAAAACGAGGTGGAGAAGGTAGTGGTTAAATCGCTCGTGCATCTGTTCGTCAGAAACATCAGAAACGGTTAAAGGTCAAATAAAGATGTTATTAGATGACTATACCAGGTCATATGACCAACAAAGAATTTGCGGTAATGCATGCAACAAGGGAAAAATGTGTAATAATAGTGCAGCTCACAGGAACAAGTGACCAAATATGGTGAACCAAGTCCAACAAAAAAAGAATTCTTAAATTAATGGGATATGCTACGCATCAAATATGTCATGAAATATCAAGTATATTGATTCTAAAGTGTTCCAAGATCGGACATTTAATGAAGTCATTTTATGAACTCAAATAGCATGTACTTATTCTACTAGAAGATGGGGGCGACTTCTGGAGACAGATCTCGGGATTGTGTATTGACATTGCTAAACTTATTCCTGATATCTAAACCGATTGATTACATGTGTTTCTTTAGCGCATAGTATCTCAGCCATCATAAACCTCAAGAATCTGAGATCTAGGCCTTCCGCTTGAAGCATATGCTGTCTCTCTAGTTTGCCCAATGTAAAAAATGTCCTGTTCGTCGATATTGCAAAATATGTTCAAAGTTTTGTACCTGAGATGGTTCCCATATTGGAAATATCTTCCAACAAAATTATACAAAGAAGAAAACGAGAAATGATGCAAAAAAGTCGTGCAGGTTCAAAACAGATTTGTATCTATTTTAAACAATGAAAACGACTTGGTTCATCTGCGACTCGGCCATAACATCTATTCTAGAAATTTGCATAAAAGTTGCTTGAAACAACAAGAAATCAGAGATAAACAAAAAAATTCCTTTTGTAGACAATAGTAAAAAAAGTGTATAATGATGACTTAACAACTTAACTGAATATAAATTATTCATAAATTCACATATGCAACAGATTTTTTCAACTTGTGTCATAAAACATTGTTTCGATCAGCAACTTGATGTAAAATATGAAGCGATACTTGCATTTAAACAAAACATAACACTGAGTCTTACACAGGAAAAATGAAAGGATGGCTGATATGTGTATAATTACTGGTTAGAGTATTCAGATAAAAATCGTAAGCAGCAAGATTAGGCACATGTGAATTATTGAGACATAGTTCATGATCGCGTATATCGCCCCAACCACCGTTCTCCCTTGAAGGTTTTAATGTTCGTTTCAGATTCTCTGCCACTATCATATTTTTCGGAAACAATGAATCTGATAAGCTATTAAAAAGTTCCGCAGCCTGAAAATTTCGAGTCTTTTTTAAATTTTTGAAAAATCAGTACAACTATTTCTAACTGAACAATAAACAAACCACTGCAGCAGCATTATGAACGGCACAACGATGAGTATGCACGCCACAGTCACCAACATGTATGACACGAGGAGCCTTAACAGCAATGACCTTCAATCTTGATGGCAAGCACTCCATGCTAACGCGTAACAAAGACCAATCCCAGTTGTAATCATCATACTTACAGAAAAACTAAAAAGATAAGTGAATTTAAACCCCATGAAAATTCCCATTTCTTCATAAAAAACAAAACAGAAACTTACTTCCGTACAATTCTTGATAAGTTCCCACGTATCCACATTGATAGCCATTCCCATATTATGTTTTGAACTAAACCATGGACAAATACTCAGCCGATTCAAATCGGTTTTAAAATTACTGTACTGTTTGAGATACAATCCAAGACTTATCACTTGACATTCCTCGCAAAAACTAAAAAGTACTGTAAACAACATAATTCCTAGCATAACAAGACAAAAGCAAGCAAGGCAAATTTCATTCCGTTATCAATACAACAACAAACTGAAGGCCTTCTAAGTATCAGCACCTAATGGAACTTAAAAGTGTCGTTTAGATACCTACAGAATTATACCTGAAATCCTATATCCTACGAAACTGTTTTCAGCTGCCACATTTTTAAACTGAAAAAATATAACATGACTCACTTCGATTTATTGTTCACAATCAGGCGCATAACATGCAAGAAATCTGGAGAAACATAGTGATCCTCCTCCAGTAGTATTACCCATGCCTTTGTCAAAGCATACTGTTTTAATATACCGTCGAATACGTAATTCATCTGTTATCGAAAATTGATTTTTAGAGAGAGTTTATAAACAATCAATAAATAATCCATGTTCCGTTGTTCCATATTCATTTGAAAAAAAAGCTGTGGATGTAATCAGCGAAGGTCATATGATCGTTTCAGCAAATGAGTCCTAACAATCAGATGAATACAAAAAAATTCGGAATAAACAAACCTTCCACCACCAATGGTGTTTGATTTGTGTCAACCTCGCAACACGAAAATGTCCATATTTATCCGGATGCTTCCAATTATTACATTTCAAAAAAGCCGCTCTAAAAATTGGAGAAAGATTTACTTGGAAAACCATACAATCCATGAAAAATCCTTTAATGTAAAAATTAAATGCAGTTTACTCTTGCTTAGTCGCCTTTTCTGGACAATCCAAAGGATCCTGCCCAGGAAAAACATCTGGAAACAACTGAATATTGTATGGGTAGAATATCTGCATAACCTGAAACAAAAAATCATCGCAGCTATCTTGGAGCTTTCAGTCATTGAAATTGTTAGTTTTTAAAATCTTTTAAATGATCAAAGCATTTCAATTTCGTCGATTCTAACACAAATTTGAACTTGTTAAATTTTGAATTTAGAACTGTAACTGGTAAAAAGATGTTTCCTTTTCCCTGCAATTATTTCAGTTGCCTTTTGTAGTAAACAACATACTAAACAGAAATCTATCCCTTTAATCAGTTTGTTTATAGCTACAGACGAATAATCATGACTAAAAATCAGCAATGTAGTTTCAATATATCGAGCATCTCTGAGGGTAGAAATCAACTCTTTCAAATATTCGATACGATTATGGACCTGCAAAACTTCTTGATGGTAATTATTCTTCAGAACACAAACAGAAAAAGACTTTCGCCACATGTAATCATAAGATGTTTAACTACGTTTTTTAAAAACTAGATTTTGGAACAAAAAAAAAAAAACCTGCAACGTAAACTATAAGATAAAAGAGTTTACCTGAACAACCAGTACGGTTTCCACATTTTGCAACTGCCCATACTTATCCATATTCAGAATCTC